GAGCAAAACCCGTGTTCCGCCGTTTAAGGATAATGACGCTCGCTCGCTCGCTCGCGCTGCACTCCAGGCAGTTGACATGCCCCTCGGTGGTCAGCGCCGCAGGAGGCCCCGCCCACAGAGGCGACAGGCTGGATTGACACGCGGCCCCCCCAGACGCTCCAACCTCCTCCTCCTCCTCCTCCTCCTCCTCCTCCTCCTCCTCCTCCTCCTCCTGCAGACCTCCACTCGTGCTCCTCCCTCCCCCGCTTCCTCTTCGGGCAGGCCGGTGGCGGCCAGTGGGCTCAGAGTCAGCAGCGAGTCCCTGCGGGCCGAGGATGGCTGGGATCTCACACTGGCTGCGGGAGGTTCGCGGCGTGTCGACCCGCGGCGACCCCGCCGTTGGCGTTCAACGTTGAACGCCGCCAGCGACCCAAACGCGTTCGATGTCGAACGATCAGACGTTTTGGAAACGGCCGATCGTTCAAGGTGGAAAGGTCTCCGCGGTGACAGAAGCCAACGCCAGAGTTTGCATTCCCTCCTCCTCCTCTTGCATCCTTACTTGCCTTCCTCCCTCCGTTCTGTTCTGGCATTCTTGGGTGAGGAGTTTTGAGCGCTCCTCAGTTGTTCCTTTGTCGGCTTCGGACCAGCCGCTCCTTCCAGCGAGCCCGACCGCCGAGAGTCCGGGGTCTCATATGAAACGATCCAGAAAGGCACATCTTCCTCGGCGGAAGGGGGCTGAAGATCGGCGGAAGCCGGCGGATGTCGCACGAGGGCGGCTCCGCCTGCGGAAGGCCGGCGGACGCCGGCGGAAGTGAAAGATGCGCCCCCAAGAGATGGCAACATATTTCGTTTTAACCTGTGTTCCAGGATCGGAAATATAACCCCGCTTCCGACGCAACGGGAAAATCACGGAGGGTAGGTCTTGGGCAGTTGTTCGCCTCCTGGCGCCCTCTCCGGGGCCCATGCAGGACCGTCAAAAAGCGGTTCAGGATGAAGGTCTGGCCTGGGGCACGGGGTCCAGATCTCCGGGGGTCTTTGTGGTAAAACACAGCGTCAGGCGTCAGAGTCAGGGGTACGTAACGGAGGTCGGCCAGTCCCCTCCGACAGGTTCCCAGAAGTTGTCGCGTGTTCTCAGAGGTTTCCGGGGCCCAGAGCGCGCTGCGTCCGCTGCAGCTCGTCGAGGCCGTGCTGGCGATGTTCAGAGCGTGAATTACCTACCCCGCTTTCGCTTCCAGGCAAAACCAAGTCATACCACGCGCCTCCTCGCCAAGCGGCTTGACCAGTACAGGCCGTAGTTTGGCATCGCTTGGTATCTCTTGGAAGCGAGGGTGGTCAAAAGCGAGGTAGGATTATTTGCCCCCTAGATGTGGGAAGTGCCCCGAATGGGCGCCCGATCGCCCGAGCACTTGGCCCGAACACCAGCAGGGGGTCAGCGCTAACCCGGGGGTCAGCCAGGCACCACCGATTCCCCCTTGCTGTCCGGGGCTCGGTCGCGAGCGGCGAGCACGTCCGTGTCCGCGCCCTCGCGGCCTGGACTCTGGGAAGCGATCCCGCGGATGCGCGGTCGTACCGATACAGTCGGGGCCTTGAAGAAGGAACCCTTCTCGTTGGGGAGGGGCTCCGCGTTCCTTATGTGTTTCGCAGCTTGCCTCAGGTTTTCCTTATGTTTTCGATGGGAAATCGAAGTTGAACTCATGGAAAAAAGGGGCCTCGTTCCTTATTTAGGGTTCCTTAGGTCAACGCCCCTTTGCACGTTCCGCGCGGTGCATCCGCGAAAAAAACGCCCTGTATCTGCGGGGCCGCGGCCCGGAAGCCCGGCCTGCGAGGCCGTGGATGCAGGCATGTTTCAGGAGGGAAAGAAACACAGACACAATGAATCCTCGAGTGCCAGGAAAATATGGGAAAATATGGGAAGTGGGGGGGAAGACAAAAATTTTGAAAATATGGGAAAAGATGGGGAATCCTTTTATTTGAGTGCATGTATTTGTGTGTCCCAGGGCCCCTTCAATGTTGTTCGCCCACACGCTGGGAGCCGCGCGGGGCCGCCGGGGTTCGCCGTGTGGCCCTGCCCGGCCTGTGCTGGCGCTGGCCCCGAGTCTGCGCGCTCCCCTCCTCCTCCTCCTCCTCCTCCTCCTCCTCCTCCTCCTCCTCCTCCTCCTCCTCCTCCTCCTCTCTCCTCCTCCTCCTTCTCCTCCTCCTCCTCCTCCCTCCTCCTCCTCCTCCTCCTCCTCCTCCTCGCCAGGGCCGGACAAAACGGGCGAGGACCTGGCCAAGGCTCTGGAAAGGGTGGAAGAGCCCGCCCCATCGTTGCCCTCCCGCCCCACGCGGCTCCCAGACCCGGGTCGGCCAGAGGGAAGAGGAGGGAGGAGGAGGAGGAGGAGGAGGAGGAGGAGGAGGAGGAGGAGGAGGAGGAGGAGGAGGAGGAGGAGGCGGAGGAGGAGGAGGAGAGGAGGAGGAGGAGGAGGAGGAGGAGGAGGAGAGGAGGAGGAGGAGGAGGAGGAGGAGGAGGAGGAGGAGGAGGAGGAGGAGGAGGAGGAGGAGGAGGGAGGGAGGAGGAGGAGGAGGAGAGGAGGAGGAGGAGGAGGAGGAGGAGGAGGGGAGGAGGAGGAGGAGGGAGGAGGAGGAGGAGGAGGAGGAGGAGGAGGAGGAGGGGAGCGCGCAAGCTCAGGGCCAGCGCCAGCGGTTCCGGGCTTGCTTTCGGCCCATGGCGGTCTGCTCCAGGCTTTGCCCCTTCCCATTTTCATGAGATCCCCAGCTTTCGATATTCGCGGTCTCTCTGCACATCCACACCGACCCTGGCCAGGCCCATCATGGACCCAGGATCGGTGCCTACGCCCTCATGGCTTGGCCGGGAGGGCGCCAGCGGGTGCACTTGCGGTAGGCTCGCGCTGCGTTGACGCGACGGCGACCCGAGCATTGGCGTTCAAGGTTGAACGCCATTGGTGGTCTGGAACCAGCCGATATGGAAAGATCCGCAGTGTCGCAAAGACGTAGGCACTCAAGGTTGAACGATCCACGCGGTGTTAGAAAGCAACGCCGACGTCGTCACGGCACGAACGTCCCGTACGTCGATGCCAGCCAGGCCCACCTTGGACCTAAGATTTAGGATCGGTGCACACGCCGACAGGAGGGAGCATGCAGTAGGCAAACCGACGAAGAAATCGGCCTGCCAGCGGGTCCCCCACGATAGTTTCGTATCTCCCGATGGGCCCGCAAAGCAGTGGAGCACCTTACGGGGCACCTTGCGAAGCTCATAGTTGACGGAGGATATGACCCGAGATTTCTTATGGCAAGGTGTCTTAACGCATGTGCGTATTATAACTACGCCCATCCTGGGCCACGGTCACCCTCGGGGCGTTGTCGGTTGCAAGGGTTTGGCGTTGATGCCGCCATGATGTTGCGGAGCTCAGCGACCTGGTCCGAACAGATCGACGGCGCATCTTGAAAGACGCCTTGCCGACTCGGTCAGCCGCAACAGCGAGGCAGCAGAGTTTGCAGGATGGGCCTGTGCTAAGTTTCACCCGCGGCTTCGGGCCTTGTGAAACCTGGAGCGATGGCTCCTGCGATGGCTCCATGGGCCGCCCAATCGCCCGATCGCCGCGAATCCGACTTCCATTACAGGTACGGTCAGGAGACTTGGCTCAACGTTTCGCTCCGCCGCTTCTGGCCCAGCACGCTTCGGCGCGACCCGCTATCCGTGCCGCTGGGGCCGCCGCCGCGGCACGCCAGGCAAAAGTCCCCGCCCGCCGTGGGAAGAGGCACCTGACTCTCGGGCACGGAGCGACTTGCACACGCTCGGCCTGCCTTCCCTGGCCGCGGCTCGGGCACCCACCGAGCCGCGGGAGCGCCTCGTGCGCGCGGAGGAGGAGGAGGAGGAGGAGGAGGAGGAGGAGGAGGAGGAGGAGGAGGAGGAGGAGGAGGAGGAGGAGGAGGAGGAGGAGGAGGAGGAGGAGGAGGAGGAGGTGCGCGTGAGCCCCATGCAGGAGTGCAGTTCGGCCTTGGTCCCGAGGGCGGGCGCCCAGACGTGCCCACACCCGTGCGAAGGAAGGTCACGGCTGGAGGCTTCTGGCCGCCTCGGGCCTCCAGGGGCACCCGCCGGGCCCCGGGACCGTCAGATCGGAACGCGCGATGAAAAACCGGCCCTGGTGAGAGGGTCAGGATTTGGAGCCTGTTTTTTTGACTCTGGCAAGTTGACTTACATGGACGGGGGGGGGGGCTGAGCCTGAAGCAAGCCCGGGAGGGGGGGGCGCGGAAATCACGCAAGTCGAAAGGCATTGCACGCTAGTATTCGCTTGAAGAGGGGCGAGAGGGGGTGTGGGGGGGGGGGGGGGGGCGAACGCCATGCAAGTAAACTTGCCTGAATCCAAAAAAAACAGGCTCTTGGGGGGGGCTAAAACGACGCGAAGATCGGGGCAAAATCGGATCGGGATAACTCGAGATCTCTGAGAATCGGCGGGTTTGGAGGATGTATTGGGCGCCGCGGCCGCTCCAGAGCGTTCCGGAACGCTCTGAGAGCGCTCGGGAACGCTCCGGGGCGATTTATCCCGATCCTAGCCCTGTTTTAGGGGCCCCGGGTTGAGAAAGCCAGGGTAATTACCACATGTCTCGGAAGGGGCTTGCAGCGACGGAATACCCCGGCGGCCAGATGTAGTCGGCATGCTTGTATTCGCAGGGGCCCGCGCGCCTCAAGAGCCCCGGCTCTCGCGCGCGCGCCTTTTGTGGGAGCTGGTGACGTGCGCGCTGCCTGCCACTAAAGCAAGGCCGACTGAGTGCATGTCCATCGCATATGCAGCTCTCTCAGGCTGAATAATAGATCCGCCCCGCTGGTACATGGACACGCTGGGCTGCAGCTTCGTCTGCCCTGCTGGCCGGATAGATTCCACCAGGATGCAGATCCGAAAATGAATGTGTGCCATGTCCCGCAGGCTTGGCCCACGCGACCACGGCCCCCGCAAAAGCCGCAGGCATGAGTGGCGCGTGAGCCACACTTGTGGAAGAAGTGCCGTTCCCCAACCGCTCTTGCTCAGGCAATCCGAGGCCCAGGCAGCCCTCGGTTCCGGCCGTGCGAGTCGCGCGGCGCCGTGCCTTGCGCCAGCGCCCGAGCATTCGGGGTGCGATGAAGGACGAGGACGAGCCGGCGGCCTCGGGCTCGTCCGACGGGGTCGCAGCGGCCGCGTTCCCGAGCCCGCCGGTGCGGCCCGCGGGGCCGACGCCCCGCGACGTGTGGCTGCTGCTGGGCCGCATGCGCCACGAGGTCTTCGTGGGGCTCGGCCTGGTCTCGGCGGTGGTGTTCTGCGCAACCCTGGCGAGGGAGGGCGGTCTGCGAGACCACGCGGCGACGCACGCGTTCCTGCTCCTGGCGGCGTGCCTGGCGATCGCGTACGACTGGCGCGCCGTTGGCCCCACGGTCGCCCTGCAGCAGGGTCCTGTGGCTGCTGCGGTAGCGTGGCTTCTGGCAGTCTTCGGAGGCCCTTTGGTCACTCGGACCGTCTTCCAAAGTTTGATATTCATGATGTTTTCCCTCCTAGCTTTCATCGTAATCCTCGCAGTCGTGGTGAGTGGAGGTGCTTTGCTTATCCCAAGCGTGGTTGTCGGTATAGTTGCAGTGGTGCTTTGGTATGTGCGAACTGTCATGGCTGATGCACTTGGAGTCGCAGCAGTCTTCCTCGGGACCTATTGGATGTTGAAATCTGCTATGCTTGTTGAGCGAGTGGAAAAATGGCCTCGCGTCACCATGGTGGAGCCTCAGTCTGAAGAGTACAACGCCCAGCTGGCTGCTTTCCAGAATGCTTGCACAGTCTGGGGTCACATGTATCCCTTCCAACTTACCGTGCGCAATATTTACAAAGTCAGGCGGCGCTTGCGTGCAGAAACGCTTGCCAACACAAAGCACTTGTACCACGGCACCGAATGGCATTCGGCGAAAGGGATCGTTTGCGACGGCTTCAGGCTTCCAATGCGCCCCGGGATGTTCGGCACCGGCATCTACTTCGCGGATTGCCCCCTGAAGAGTTGGCGCTATTGTTTCCCGTCCTTCGGCGTCAGCACCATGCTGCCGCGGATCAAGCAGCGAGGCGGGCTCATCCTGATGTGCGAGGTGGCGCTGGGCGAGGTGCGCCCCGAGGCGCAGGCGAACCGGGGGCACCGCGGCTTCGACCGTCGCAGCCTGAGGTCTTGGCTGCAATGCTGGCCCTGTAGGCGCCGCGCCCCAGATTCGGTAGTCGGCCTGACCCACGGAGCGGGGGGATCCCTCAGGGTTCCAGAGTACGTGATCTACGATCCATCAAGGGCCGGTGTCGAGTACATCTTCTCGGATGGGCTCCAGCACACGGAGACCGAGACTTTGGGCCCCCCCTGCCACCCCTTCCCCAAACCCCCGAATGAGGGGGGAGGCCTGGATGGGGGGCGCCAAAGGTACGTAGAAGTACTCATGTGCTGGAAGCCTCCGATCTTCGAGGTCTCCAAGGCATGATTCGCGAGCTGGGTGCCTCCTTCGACGATCAGCTGGCGCGTCGAAGTTGCTGCGTGCGGTCCGTTGTTGCAGGACGTATGGATCCAAGATACTTCGCATTTGCCCGCGGCGAGGTGCCCAGATATCAAAAAGAAATCAGGTCGATACCGTCTGATCGGAGCCGTCGGGTGGTCACCGATACTCGTGCAGCATGGCCGACGCACGCTGGCTAGCCCATAGCTCTTCCAGGTGGCACCCATGGGCTCTTCCAGGTACCATCTGTTCGGGCCGTCGGGGGATCTCCGAGCGTAGTCCCTTGGGGTTCTCTGCCGAGAAAAACTGGGAACCTTTTAGAAGTTGAGCTTTCGGCCCCTGCACTGAGCTATGCAACATCCACCCACAATCACTCACAAGTATTGTGTGAAGCTTGAGGCGGCGAGGAGGAACGTCCTGCAAGAGCGGTGGTGCCGCGGTCATGGTGGGCAGCGCACGGGATTCCCGCGCCGTGCGCCAGGCGACCTCGTGGGGCCCCCACGCCCCACCCCGCGCCCTCTGAGAAAATTTTGCATGGTCCTGTTCGCCTGCGCTGGGCCTCTTTCCCACACCCATGGCGGCGCCCCCCTCCCCCCCCCCGGCGTACTTCGCGCCTTCGGCGTTTTCGGCGCCCTGCCGCTCCTGCGGCGGGGCCCCCTTGTGCCGCATGGCGGAGGCCCTGTGCCCGGCTGCTGCCCACCCCGCCTGGCCGTGAGGCGTGCCTCGGCCAGGCGGGGCGCTCCTCTCCGTTCCTCCGCCGCCCTCCTGCTCCCCTCCCTCCCGCGCCGCCGTGGCGCCGCCTGGGCCGCTGCCGCCGCGCGCTCCCAGCCAGCGCTCCCAGCCTCTGCTGGCACCGCGTCGGCGGTCGTCGGTGTCACGGGCTTTGCAGAGCAGTCTGCTGCAGCCCGCGCGCGTCGGCGCAGCCCCGCTGCGGGGCTCCTGTGCCCTCGCCTCGGCCATCCTCGTCCTGCACCCTGCGGGCGCCAGCCCTCTGCAGCAAAGTCTGACGTCCCCAGCACGCGACGGACATCGGGATGCTCCCGCTCCTGCAGTCCCGTTGGCCCTCCTGGTGTACCGGTTCACCCTGTTCTTTACGTTCCTAGCGCCTGCAGCCCTGGATTCGGCCCTTGGGTGTGGTCGTGACTCGTGATGCCGCCCCGCGTCCATTGCCAGGTCATTTCAGCCCCGGTTGGCCGCTCTGGCGCGCTCATCCTGAAACGATTTTATCGTGAGCGGCCGCCCTGTCTTCCCTTGCCCTTGTTTTGTTTTTGTTTTTGTTTTTTTTTCTCCCCTCCCCTCTCCCCTCCCCTCTCCCCTTGCCCTACCTCTTCCTACACCCCTGCTTACAGGACCACGGAGACTCCAGTGTTCTCGGCGTTGCGTCGCGCGCCACCGCGGAGCAAACCAGGGGGGTAAATCCCAAAGCCCAGACCCACATCATCAAGGTAGCGACGGAAAGTTTACTCACTTCAAGTGCCTCCATGAGAATACGGCGGGATCAAGGATAAGGAACAGTTATCTCTTTGATACGCACACGTTCGCTCTGTATTAGGTAGGATCATCGACGTTTGCGTCGCCACGGGATCTACCCTACCTCCGTTCGTTTGTACAGAGTGTTCTTTTCAACACTGGGCGTCTGAAAAATCACCTGAAAGCCAGAAGTGTTTTAGGGGGGCCTCTACGCGGGGAGAGGGTTGAGGGGTTCTCCACCAGCAACGGGGGCAGATGCTGGCGGCGCGCAGAGGGGGTTAGGGGGAGGGGGGAAGGCTTCTTAGAAGCACCCCTGCTTCTTAGAAGGCGCGGGCCTTCTCTATAGACGTAAGGCCGAGGCCTTCTAAGAAGCAGGGTGCTTCTAAGAAGCCTTCCCCCCTCCCCCTACCCCCTTTTGCGCGCCGCCAAAGATGAACCTCGAGCCCATGTCTTGACAGAGTGCCCCCATTCCCTCCCGTCCTCTGCGGCCGCCCCGTCTTCCCGCGCCTCCTCTCTTGCACCCGGACACTTCGTTTGTCGGCGCCCCCGATTTGGCGGCGCCGCGCCTTACGTCTATAGAGAAGGCGCGCGCCTTCTAAGAAGCAGGGGTGTTTCTAAGAAGCCTTCCCCCCTCCCCCTACCCCCTTCTGCGCGTTGCCGACCGACTACTGCGAGCGCCCGCGCGGATTGCGTCTGCCGGGCTGCGCCGAAAAAATGCTTCGCGCCGGGAAGGGCATCTGACAGCAGGGGGCCGACGCCGCAGCTTGGGCGTGACACGCGCGCCCCAGGCATCAAGCTGACCAGGGGCCCCAATGAGCAATCGCAGAAGAGTGGGCGTCCTCCAGACCTCCATCCAGGATTCCGCCCTCCCTCACTCCCCCCCCCAGCTCGGCAAGTGCTCACGCAGTTCCGCCGTGATCGGTTCTCTGCGAGGATACATTTCGCAGGGTCTTCGATCCACGTTTCCGTGGAGGGGAGAGCGGGGGGCCTTGGATTGTTCATTGGAACTCACCACCCACCAAACCACCCCAACCCAACCCGAAGGCCTCATTTTGCCCTCCATTTCCAGTGGGGGGGGGTCTGGAAACATCGAAAAAACACGTATGGAGCCCGTACCCCCCCCCAACCCGAAATTCGGGTCTTCGGGTTGGGTTGGGGTGGTCTGGTAGGTAGTCAGGAACGCCCCTGAGAGGGCAGACACCGCAGTCCCACTTTTTGTTGGAACCTCGAGTTTCCTTTGGGGGGGTGTCTCGCACGGTTCCAAAGGGTGCAAGAAGTTTCAGAAGACGGCGCAAGGTGTCGGCAAGAGGTTTGGAGAACGGCAGGACTGTGTGCCGAACGTGTCCACGTCTTGGGACGACAGCGGTGCGCGAATGCAAGAAGCAGCAAATACAAGTTCGCTTTTGGACCCCAAGATGGGGCTTCCGAACAGGAGGATAATTACTCTCATGTGCCTCACACGTTTATGGGCTTCTCGCCATGGGAGACCAGCGGACGATGCAAGTAAACGGAAGAAAGATGAGTAGGACCTCCTCTTTCCCCACGTGTTACCGAGCTCCTCTCGCTCGACGGTCGACGTGCTCTTGCAGCACGCGAGCGTTTACTGGTCGAGTTCTGCTGGGTTGAGCCGGGCCCATGTTTAGCGGCGGGGGTCCGTCTCGGGCGTTCTCGCCGTCACGGCTGGATCCACCCGAGAGTCTTTTTTCACATGTATCGGTGTGTTGGCATTGGTGCTGGTCTCTGTTTCATGGCGGTATTCGTTGGGGTTCTCCGTGTTCGTCGTAGCGCTCTTAGGGGTCGCCTGGGGCCTCTCTGGGTCTTTGCGACCGCAGCTTGTCGTGGTTATGGGCGCCCTGGGGGTCCAGAAGGCCTCCAGAGGCTTCCAACCAAGAAAGGCCAGAACGCGCCGAGGAACTTCGCCTGTCGTTTGCTTGTGATCCTCGTCATTTCTCTGCCCCGTGGGGTCGAAGACGGCCCCAGAGGGTCCAAAAAGACGTGGAGAAGAGCCCAAGAAGATCCCCAGAGTGCCCCAAGAAGCTCCGAAGACGGGCGAAAAGAGCACCCAAAAGTGTTTCCTGGGTTGTTGAATCGCTTCGCTCATTCCGCCGGCCCATATTGCACCACTGTTGCTCTATTTTGGTGTGCCCATGGCGGGCGAGAAGGAGGATTAGGGGAGTCGATAGGGGAGGAGGAGGAGGAGGAGGAGGAGGAGGAGGAGGAGGAGGAGGACGAGGAGGAGGCCTCTCGACGGTTTCTTGGGGCACTGTGGGGACCAAATTGGGTCGCGGACAAGACGCCTCTTTGGACAATTTTTGGGGGTCTCTTGGCAGGCCTCTCGGGGGCCTCTTGGCAGCACTTGGGGGACCTCCTGGGGCCTCTTGCGGTCCCCGTGGGGCAAACAATGGGTTTCTAGGGGCCTGTTGAGGGTTTCTTGGGGGCCTGCTGACGGTCTGTTCTCGATAGGTCTGTTCGGGTTCCCATTCTGTTGGGCCCTCGTGTGAGCCTTTGGAGCCATCTGGGGAAGCCTTTTTTTGCCGTCCTGGGAGCTTCTGGGGCTGACTTGAGGCCATATTGGAGGCCTCTTGGGCCGACCTGGGCGATCGGAAGCTCGAAACGGCGGTAACGCCGAAATCTTCGAAAACGCCAAGGCAAAATCAATGATGTTTGCCTCTTACATATTTGGCGCCTCCTTGGGGTGCTCCCGGGGCGTCCCTGGGTCGCCCCCGGGGCCGCGCCCAGGAGTTCTGGCATCCGTGGCCCGACCCTGCAGGGGACATGCCGGGACCTTGTCGGGGTATTTGTCATTCAATCGCTTCGCTCACTCCGCCGGCCCGTATTGCATGATCGCTACTGCTTACTGCTTCGGCGCGGGCTCGGGGCCATTTCGGCGCCGCCGGAAGGAGGAAGATGAGGATGGGGAGGGGGAGGGGAGGAGGAGAAGAGGATGAGAAGGAACGGAGGAGGATGAAGAGAAAAGGGCGGAGGAGGAAGCCTCTCGATGGCATCTTGCGGCGCTCTTGGGGCCAAACAGGGCCGTCGTCCAGATGCTTCTTTGGGAGGCCCTGGGGTCTGTTGAGAGGCCGTTCGTGGGCGCCTGGGAGACATTTTTGAAGCCTTGTAGGGCCTCTCTTGAGCCTCCTTGGAGCCTCCTGGGGTCTCTTGGGGGCCTCTTGGCGGCATCTTGGGCCATCTTAGGGGCCTCTCGGGGCCTCCTGGGGCCCTCTTGGGGCGGAAGGCTTGAGGTTTCGGTTCGTGGTCCCCATCTTGGGCCCCTCTTGGGGCCGTCTTGGGGCTCTCTTGGGCCGTCTTGGGCGTCTCTTGGGCCGTCTCGGGGCCCGTTTGGGCTCTCTGGGGGCCTTCTTGGGGGCCTCTTGAGCCGTCTTCGTGCGCTCTTGGGGGCCTCTTGGGCCGTCTTGGAGCATCGCAAAGCCGAAAATGCGACAAGGCCAAAATCCTTCCAAAACCATAGTAAAATTTATCATTTTGGCCTCTCGGGGCGCTCTTGTGAGGCCTCTTGGAGTCTTGACGGCTTCTTGGGCCGTCTTGGGATCATCTTCGGCGTCTTGGAGCGTCCTTTGGGCGTCTCGGGGGCCTCTTGGGCAGTCTTGGGGGCCTCTTAGGGCCGTCTTGGCGCGCTCTGGGGGCCTGAGAGGCCGTACCC